AAATGAGTTCTGTAGGGCACGAATATATGAGCATTACAGCTAATTATCCTGATGATTATTCATTAATGCCTGTGTCTTGCAACAAGGGATATTGCAAAATAATGCAAGTTATTTTAAACATTGTATCTTTACTTAATAGAATCTTGCTAGTTACAAATCGTATGTTTACAGTAACATCCTTTACGTTAAATGACATTCCTCCGCCTCCCTGTCCCCCGCCACCTTTACCTATGCTTGCCTCTCGTCCCCTCTCCACCTCGACTGACCCCTCCCCAGTGTTACCCACTCACCCGTCTCCATCCGCTGCCCCGCTCTCTGCCCTCTCGACCCTTACTCACCCCACCGCCCCAGATCCTCCAGACCCTTGTCCTCCCGCTGATCCCGCTTCCCTTATGCCTCCCGACCTCTCTTCTACCTCGTTGTCCCCTCCCCTCCCGACTGATTTGCCATCCCTGATCTCTGCCCTCACTGCCCTGACCCAGCCCCCCCCCCGTTCCTACCCCTCCGACCCCTTCTCCAGTGGTACCCCCCTCCCGATATCCCGGTCCCCTCTACCTCGTTGCCTCCTCCCCTCTCGGCTGATTTGCCGTCCCTAATCTCTGCCCTTACCGTCCTGACCCAGCCCCCCGTTACCACCCCTCCAACCCCTTCTCCAGTGTTACCTCCTCCTCCCGAAGTCCCGGCCCCCTCTACCTCGTTGCCTCCTCCTCCCTCGGCCGATTTGCCGTCCCTCACCTCTGCCCTTACCGCCCTGACCCAGCCCCCCGTTACCACCCCTCCAACCCCTTCTCCAGTGTTACCTCCTCCTCCCGAAGTCCCGGCCCCCTCTACCTCGTTGCCTCCTCCTCCCTCGGCCGATTTGCCGTCCCTGATTTCTGCCCTCACCGCCCTGACCCAACCCTCCGTTACCACCCCTCCAACCCCTTCTCCAGTGTTACCTCCTCCTCCCGAAGTCCCGGCCCCCTCTACTTCGTTGTCTCCTCCTCCCCCGACTGGTTTACCCACGCTGTTACGACCCAGCCCCCTGTTCCCATCCCTCCGACCTCTCCCCCGGTGACCCCTGACCCAACCATGGCCAATGACCTGTCTAGCTCGATATCCGCCCTCTTCTCTGCTGTTACCTCCCTGGTTAATTCCGCGATTCCTGCCCCGCCTCCCACTGATTTACCTCCTCCTCCTCCACCTCCTCCCACCCTTAATACTCACCTATCACGCCCATCCCAGCCGGCCCCCTGCTTTAGAGGCCCGTGCATACCCTCCAGCTCCCGCTGATGGGTTTTACACGGGTGGTTTCCAAGATATTCAGCCCCTACCTCGACAAAGCCGCCTTGCCCGTGCTCCTATGCAGTCCAGCCACCCTCCAACTTCTACCCGCCGGTACCAAGGACCCGACCAGGCCCATTTAGATTTACTGCAATAGGTAACTGGCAAGCCTGTGTCAGCAACCCCTGCCATGGCAGTGTCTGCGGGGGAGGGCCCTTAACTACTGTAGTTCTCCCCGTAGAGGGTCATCCAACTACCTTTCTAGTTGACACAGGTGCAGCCCGTAGTGTTCTTAGGGAACAAGACCTGCCTGACCCCTCCTTTTTGTCAGTCACCGATGTCTCCTGTGTTGGGGTGGATGGTACACCCCGCAGTAGCCCCCTCCCTACACTCCTACATGTTGGTTCACACATACTCTCCCGTTTTGTTGTTTCTTCTACTTGTCCCATTAACCTCTTGGGTGCTGATGTTCTTTCTCGGCTCCAGGGTCCAGTTAACTACACCCTTATCACAGACAGACACCACTGTACTCTGCTCACTGCCCATATTGTTAAACCTCACCACATCCACAGGGAATTCATGGGTCCAACAAACCCCCAGTGCTCTGGACCGTATCCCACAAAAGCTTTGGTCCACCGGCCCAGATGACATCGGACGTCTACAAGTGCACCCCGTTGTGGTCAAGCTCCTGCCAGGAGCATTACCCCCCCAGTAGGCCACAGTATCCTCTGAAACCTGCACAAACTGATACTATCACCAAACAAGTCGAAAGCCTACTCGCCAAAGGTGCCCTCATTAAGTATGTGTCTCCATGTAACACTCCCTCTTCTCCTTTTTTCCCTGTCAAGAAGAGAACTGCTAAAGGACAACCTGACCAGTACAGGATGGTCCAGGACCTTCGTGCTGTCAATGATACTGCCATTGTTCCAGATCCACATATTCTCCTATCTCAGGTCCCACCTACAGCCACAGTATTCACTGTAGTAGATCTGGCTAATGCATTTTTCAGTGTGCCACTAGACCCCTCCTGTCGCTTCCTCTTCGCTTTTACCCATGAAGGACAACAATACACCTGGACTGTCATACCTCAGGGGGCCCAGAATTCCCCCACTCAGTTTGCCCGTGCCATGTCTTTGGTACTAGAACCCTGGCAGAAAACTCACTCTGATGTTGTCCTACTTCAATATGTTGATGAGCTCCTTCTCTGTGCTCCTAATTTGCTTATTGCAGAGCGTGACTCAGAAGATCTCCTATGTTTCCTCGCTGCAGCTGGTTGCAAAGCCTCAAAATCAAAGCTACAATGGTGCCGGCCCTCTGTGGTCTTCTTGGGACATTGCCTTTCCCATGGCACCAAACATCTAACCTCACAACGGGTGCAAGCTATTCTGCAACTCCCTTTACCTGCGACACATCAGACTCTTCATGCCTTTTTGGGTCTCATTACATACTGCAGGTCCTGGATACCGGAAGCCTCAAAGCTCATGCAGCCACTCTGACTCCCTCAGGGGTGAGCCCTTTCATCTCACCGAAGAAGCTTTACCTGTTTCCAAAATCTGAAAAGAGCTATTGCTTCTGCACCTGCTTTGGGCCTTCCAAACTACCAGTTACCTTTCAATCTGTTTGTCTCAGAAAAGTCTGGACATGCTTCCGGAGTCCTAACCCAAAAACATGGCTCAAGACAGCGACCTATTGGCTATTTTTCCTGCATGCTCGACCCCGTTGCTAGGCGTAGTCCCTCATGCCTCAGAGCGGTGTTTGCTGCCGGTGTCCTCTTGGACAAGACTAATGATTTTGTTCTTGGTCACCACCTCACGGTGTTGGCCCCTCATGACATTACTGCAATCCTGCAACAAGTTCAACCTAAGCACCTTTCTTCTCAACGTTACCTTCGTCTACACACATCCTTACTGTTACCTGACAATGTGAAACTTCAGCGATGTCTCTCCCTGAACCCGGCCACTCTTCTGCCACTTCCCAAGGGGGGAATTGTGCATTACTGGTATAGCCTGGACATCAACCCAGAGGTTCGAGCAGATTTGCAGCTGCCTGCACCTGCACTTCCACATGATGAACAATCAGAGGCCCTACTTCACTGCACCTCATGGTTTAAAGACAGACCAGGCCCTGATATGAACTATGAGGAAGAATTATTCCAGCTCAAGGAAATTCAAATTACCCTGACTGACTTGTTATGGGACCCCACAGGTACCATGCTCATCTTAGTCCCATGCTCATCTTAGTCCATCTTCCAGAGAACATGACACATCTCTACCATCATTGGGAAACAGCTATCCCACACATATCTCTCACCAGATCCCCTGACACCTCATGGAAAGACCTAGGCCCGATGGCCAAGACCTGGAGTCAAATGAACCAAGAACAACTGACTTCTATGGGGCCAGCAAAAAGACTATTAACTACTGTACAGCAGGGTACCCTAGGTACCACACAGACGTCTGTGAGGACCCACTCATCATAGACTGTGACCCTGATATTTCCCCACTTAGCTGATCAGGCCGCTAAGGAAGCAGCACGACAAGGATGGGAAGTGGACAGAAGAGTGGCCACAGACGCAGTGCCCATCTACACCATGCAGACACTGCCTACGGATCTTAGGCTTCTAAAGGAACAACCAGCTACTGCTACTCCCCAGGAGAAACAAAGTTGGAAGAACAAAGGAGCTGTACTCCGTGATGATGTTTACACTATCAATCTCAAGTTTTGCCTACCCAGAAATATGTATCCAGCGGTGGTCCAATGGGCCCATGGGCCAGCCCACCTGTCAAAACATCTGATGAACTCATTGATTGACAAGTATTTTGAAGCACCAGGCATCACTACCTTAACACAGAATTACTGTAAATCTTGTACTATATGTGCTAAATGCAATCCTGGAAAGATTATAAAGACTGCACCTAATCATCTAGCTAAACCACAATACCCCTTCCAGAGGATCCAGATTGATCACATTCAGATGCCAAAGAGTGGACGTTATGAATATGCATTGGTCATAGTGGACATGTTTTCAGGATGGCCAGAGGCCTTCCCAGTGACTAATCTCACCGCGAGGACTACAGCCAAGTATCTCTTGACAGAAATTGTTTGCCGCTATGGAGTTCCAGAAGTAATTGAAAGTGACCTCCTTCACTGCCTCGCTAACACGGGAAGTCTGGTCAGCACTGGGGGTGACCCTTGCATTCCACACACCATATCACCCACAGAGTAGTGGTAAGGTAGAGCGCATGAATGGCACTTTGAAAGCCAGAATGCTTAAGATGTCACAAGAAACTAACATGCCCTGGCCCGAGAGTCTCCCATTAGCGTTGTTTAGTGTAAGGTACACTCCTAGGGGAAAATATAGCCTATCACCTTATGAGATTTTGTTTGGTACAGCACCCAGGTTAGGTTGTTACTTTCCCCAACAGCTTCAGATTCAGTCAGATGCTATGGTAGACTATGTGACTGCCCTCACATGCCTTGACCAAAATACATGCCCCAGTGTTTTCTTCTATTCCAGATCCTGAGTCGAATACAGGTACACACAAGCTGCTTCCTGATGATTGGGTTATGGTCAAGAAGTTTCTCAGGAAACACACCCTAGAACCAAGATTTGATGGCCCATATCAAGTGCTCCTGATTACAGCAACGTCAGTTAAACTAGCCGGGAAGAGTTCTTGGATACACGCCTCACATTGCAAAAAAGTGCCTGCTCCAGAAGAGGCTAATCTTGCTGAAATATGAATTTATTATGTGTCTTGTGTTTTCTTATGCTGCTACACTTTGCCTGGGCCCAACAAGTGGCCATAACCAAAGATAATCATGTTTACACTTTCTGGTACAATTCTTCTAACACAGATGTAGCTACATACACCTTTGATTACTGTGACATAGTTGTTTGCACCTTTTCCACAAACACAATATGCAGCCATATACAACGACATACCTAGCAAAAAGGCTCACCTCACCAGACTGGGTAGGAACCACTCACATGACTATTAACCCGTTAAAACCACATATTAAGACTCTACATGACATGGTAGCTATAGCCAATCCCACCTTTGAAGACACCATGGCAGTAGAGACTGGGTTTTCAGACACTAATTTGTGGCTAGAATGGATGAGGTATAATGCCAACTCACACAATAAGACTAACTGTTATGTATGTGGAGGAGCCAGGCCCCATCTGGGAACAGTTCCTCTGAGCTTACCTCCTGAAGTAGAATTATGTGTTCTGAGTCTTTATGCACAATCCATCACCAACTCCTCAACATGTGAATCATGGAAGAGAATTTACCCGATCACTCATGGACATGTAAAACCACCTGATGGAGTCACCATCTAGCCAGGTAACTACACATGTTATACAATACCTAAGAACACTGGTTTGTATCTGGGCAAATTCCCATCAGGATACTGCTCAACTTACCATAATCCACCCGTATCACTGCTAATGAATCACACAAAGACAATTGGTGATATCTATTGGTTATGTGGTGATAAACAATTGAGGTCCCAATTAGCTGGGCAATGGTGGGGGGAGTGTGCCCTAACCAAAGTCATAATGCCTATCCATATTATTCCAGATGGTAGTCATAACACGTTAAACCTCACACATGTACACTCTAGAACCAAACAAGAGACTCCTATCCGAGGGAGCTTTGACCCCCATGTGTATATTGATGCCATAGGTGTGCCAAGGGGGGTGCCTAACGAATTCCTCAAAACTTCGTGTAGAGAGATTGAATGTTTAAACTTCCTTTATTGCATTTTCTGTTTAATTTAGAATTTCCTATCTCCTGCTCTGTTAATAGCTTGTTGGACCCTGCAGAAGCCTCATGTGTGTGCTTAAAATTTAATTTACAGAGCAGGAGATTAAAAACTTCTAAAGCAAATTAACATGTGCGACTCACAGCCAGGGGAGGTGTGGCTACGGGTGCATAAATAGAAAATAAAAGTGATTTAACTCATAAATGGCAGTGAATTGAGCAGTGAGACTACAGGGGCATGATCTATACACCCAAACTGCTTCATAAAG